TATAAATTTATCTGTTCACTCCTTCATTCCTTCATTCATTTGTATGCCAGATGTTTATTAAATTCTTACTACATGAAAAGTACTCACTGAAAATTTTCACAGAAAGTTTGTACTACATCCTTTTCTGCAAAAAGCAAATCAAACTGTACCAAAACCACCCAAAAGTTTATCATTAAAAAATCAATTGAAAAACATAAAATAGGCATTTTTTCTATGACAGTAAAAATCTTTCCACAATAAGTAGGAATAAGCACACATGATCACAAATAGTAAGTATTCTCTTAGTTATTTTATGAAAGAAGTTAATGTTTATTATAACAGAAGTCATTTTACCTGGTGTTATGTGATCTTACTTTAAAAGAAAATGGCCATTTGTATACTAAACACATTATCAAGTGAATAACATCTTCTGTTTCTTGTCACTTTAGTTCTATAAATAACATTAATTCTTTAAAGATTACGCATGATACTTTGGCATTATTAACTAGTAACATCATAGATTTATTTACTTAGGTAAGTAACAACTAATCACCTGTGTTCATCTACAAGTCATAAAACCAGAAACACTAGGAGAAAATATCACCCTCTATAAATTATCCATACATTTTACTTATCATAATCTCGAGGTCAGTGTGCATATGAACTAGCATACTACTTATCCCTCTTCTAGAGTGTGCTAAGTGTTCTAGAATGTCCTTTCTCCTTCCTACCCTCCTACATCTCCACCTGCCTCCTTCCATCCCAGAATTTCTCCTTCCATCTCAGAAAATCCAAGGTAAAAATCCCGTAAGACTTGGTCAAGAGAAATTTTCTTCTCCACCCTCATGAAGAATGTAGCCAGTCATGTCTTGATTCCAATGTTCATATTTCCCGACAGCTGCCGTTTTTATTAGAATTAAGCTCTCTTCTCCTGGAATTTGCTTCACTTCTAGGTTTACAGGACATAGTTCAATCTTTATTCAGTCAGTTATTTACTTCATGACCCTGGAGAAATGATTAGTGAAGCAGTGGTTAATAAATGATGCATATTTAAGGACTTATGGATTCATGTCTGAATCTACAGTTTTAGGGTACATTTTCCTATCCTAAATAATTATTTTATCCTCTATTTTAGGACATGAAAATGAAAACTGACCTAGTTAATTGAGTTGGGTCTGGAAATTTCATAACACATATTACCAATACATTTTGGTTTCATTGTGAAGTTTCATTATCTTAAGGAGTAGAGTGATGAGTATGAAGAAATTTAAGACATTAAAAAGTGCCAAGGCCTGTGGCCACTACATGCTAGTGAGAAGAAAATAAACCTTCCTAGTTTCAGTGGTATCTGAAAATATTTTAAGACTCAGTTCACATATGGCCCTCCCTTTCACCACACAGTGCCTGGAAATTTGGAGATTTATGAAGGTATCTAGAATATAGACATAGGAGTTAACCATCAGTGAAGTTCCAGAATTAGGGCCTGATAAGGGCTTGAGAACAAATGAATGTCAGGAGAAACCCTGATTTATATTTCTTAACTAATAGTCTCAACAAAAGCAATTCACTAAATCTAGCATGCACTCTGAACTCTAAACACTCTAAGAAGGAAAATAGAAATACATAATTGAAGCAAATGCATTGTCTTTTCATGTACAAATGCACCTGGGTGTTTTATCAACAGTATGTGTTTTACCTTTTGTTGATTTTTCTCTAGTAAAAATATGTACTAAGTATACACAATTTTTATGTAAGTATGGATCCAGAATATTTGAAATGGAGCCAATATTCCCCATTGAAAAGTCACGTCTCTGTACAAACCTAAACACTGGATAAGCTCCTCTTGTAAATCATACTGCATAAACAATGAGACTAATTGGTTTTCTTTTATTTATAGTCCTATATAGAGAAACTATCTGTTAAGCATTTATTTGTACCCAGCACTTTGCTATGGATGTAGAGATGCAAAGGAAGTGAATGAATTGTCCCTGTAGTAAAATACTCAATAATTTTATTGAAGATTTAACATTTACATGCATTATTTAAAAAGTTAAAAATGTGATTCTGTTTTCAAGAAAAAATATATCTTACAGATACTAAGTCAATGATTGTCAAATTTTAGTGTACATAAAAATGTACATATATATCTAACTAAACAGGAAAATTCTTCAACCTCATTTTGATCTAATAGAGCAGGGTGTCTGGATTTTTGTGAACACTCTGTTATTCAGATGCAGTGGGCCCAAGGGTGAGTGCATGGAAAGTCAGGGACCAGGGACTTGGGCAAAGGCAGGAATTCCCAGGATCAACTTAGAGAGGGCAGCAGATTTGAGATGAATCTGTAAGAGCAAACTTTAAGGACAAATGGGATTTAAGGAGAGAGGGGGCCTTTATTCTTGGAAGAAGAAAAGGCTTGAAGAAAAGCACAAACTTAAGAGTGACTATAACATAGGTGGCAAGTGGAGAAGAATGTGGAATGGTTCCGTAAAAATTACTTTCCACTCCCCTCCCTTTGCTTGTCCAGCACCTTGGACAATTGAACTACTTTAATATAGATAGAGAAATATTCTCTCTTTCTGTGCTTGAACCTGATTTTCACATAATTTATGTCCATTCATAGTGATCAGTGGCAAACCACAGAGTTTACAACCCCCAGGTTTTCCAAACCAGGTGCCTATGTACAAAGTTCAGACTTGATGATTAGTATTTAGTGTCAAATGAAGTCACTATTGTAGACACATGACATGGTACAAAATATTGCCTTAGGATCCAGAAAGAATTGGATTCATTTTGCTGTTATATTGTTATGCCATTTAGTAACTAGAATATTTTACGTAGCTTTTTTGTACAAAAATGGCAATGTAAATATATGTAACTTATACTGGATTTTGAAGATTAACTGAGTTGGTGAATGTAAACTCCCTAGTACATAGTGGACAATAATAAAAAACACTATTTGTCACTTAAAATTATTTGTAAAAACATGTTTTACATGGACTAATCTATGATCATGCAATGGTATGATTTAATCTAGATAAAACATAGAAAATGAAAATATATGAAAAGAGATTCGTTTTTCCATACAAAGAGGAAAATATGACTTTTGTGACTAATTTTTCTTTGACATGGAATTGTATAACATGAGGCAATTTGAAGATTCCTTAAGATATGTTCCTGAGAAGCCAGAAAGCCCCTTAGAGTATTATTCTCTGGTGACTTGTAAAGACATTAATCTCTTATTAATTATTCATGTCTAATATGAATTATTTTATGAGGTCTATTCTCTCTGTACAGTGACGGAGAAAACCAGTGAGGAACAGGAGAATTCCTGAATGTAGAGAAGGAGGAGCCATTTGTAATTATGAACATTCATGTAACATTGACCTTGTTTTAATTCCAGGTCCCAGTAGGAGGGCCCAAGGAGCCTTCAATCAGTGAGAAATGGGCACTAGAAGAGAGAAAAAAAGGCATGGAAAAGAGGTGCTGACAAGTATCAGGTGCTTTTGCTTTAGCCTCAATCTGGTTTAAATGCCACTGTTCCCTGCACATATGTATACTCCCTCATTTTTGTTAAATGTCACACAAATGCCTTTTTATTTTTGGTGTCATCTTACAAAGTAAAATCCTCTAAGATCAGAAAGTGAAGTTCAAAGATCTCACCAGGTGGCTTAGGAAAATCTGAGAACAGAAATGGTTTCTTCAAAAAATAGGGAGAAAAATACATGTGATGAATTGTACAGTGTTAATAGTCTTGGAATTATTTTAGAAACTCTGTTCCTTTAAGGTACTTTAAACACTACTTATTATTGCTCTCTGTTTATTTCAATTATTATTTATGCACCACTTGCCTTTTCTTTCATCTGGAGAAAACTGTGATAAAATGTGCCTTTCCAACTTAGAATTTTTTTTTAATTACAAGCCTGATTTTCCTGAATCACTACATGTAATTTGCCTAGAAATTTATATTTTTTAGAGGAAACAATCTTTCTCATTTACATTAATATAGTGAATGTTGCCAAAAGAAAATTTTTCCTTGTGACAGGAAGAGAAAGCAGAGTTACATTAGAATGGGGTTAGAAATAAGGTCTAAACACTAACAATAGGTTACATAAAAGTAAGATTATTTGTGTCAAGAGAAATTTACTATAAATTATAGTAGGATTGAGAATATATTTTATTTATATTTAGAACTGAGTGCATCGTGGTTACTTAATTGAGATTTATTGGATAATTCATAGATAAAATGGGAGCACACCAGAGAATCCCTAGCCCTAAGAAATTTCAAACTACAACCCTCACATCACTGATAGAAAGGATCCCATCTTCACACAAAGCCTTGTCTCACCCACACCCCCACACACAAGAGACTCTAGTGACTCATTTCTGTGCAGATTCTCTGCTAGCTATATAACAATATCAGCACAATAGTATCAATTCAAGCCTACAAAGGTCTTAAAGGAGAGGGTTGATATAAGACCTTACGCTTACCTTTGGTTTCCTATCAAAATAGGCAATAGGTTGTAAGAGATACATAAAACTTTGCTTTAAACCCATAGAGGAAATTTGTCATTAATTCTATAGAAGGCTACTTCCATACATGATCTGAAAAGACCCAGGAAAATCAACTAGCACTGAAAATTCTTTCTTTTTCTTATGTTCATACACGAAAACCCTAACTACTAAAGTTGCTATTTCAGTTTAGTCACTGATAAGATACTTTCCTGGACCACCCGTGAAGATATGTGCAAGGCACCACCACAGTTGTGGTGATGACTCCAGTACAAAATAAGAAAGAAAAGAACAGTTCTGCTTTTCAAAAACCACACGGGCAAATGGTCTTTGATTTCTAATAAACACTCTTGAGCTTATCTCTCTGTTTTAATTGTGATAGTGAAGCAATAAAAAAATTAGATTTAATTTTAACTAATGTTAGTCTGCATAAGGCAGTGAGTGAAGGCAATGTGCTGGACAAATATTAATCCAGGTTGGTTATTTAACATCTGCCTTACATCGAGGAGAACACCACCAAAGCCGCCTGTTTGAGACCATGAAAATTCTCAGTTGTGTCTTAGTTTATCGCCGGCTTCTCCTCATAGTTGTTAGTTTGTTGGGTTTATTACCACTTCCCCTCATCATCCGCACTAAGGTAGGTGAACTTGGAGGACAGACTGGTGGACTTCTTGATCTGTTTTAATGATCTTTTACAAGTGTTGTTTAATTAATTGCCTGGCTCAGAACTGAATGAATGCTAATTCTTTGTATTTGAAGTCATGGTGGTTATACACTATGTTTGGTCTACTTTCCTCCTTTTTAATGGTTAATGTTGGTCTATTCTTGGGATGACTACATAGAATAATTAAACATAATAGTCAGTTAGTATTGCTTTCTGCCTATATCCTAAATGAAAGGAAAAACAAATGAAGCATGAACCTCAAATCTCATTGTTCGGATTATTAACCTCCAGGAAGCATTATGGGTTAGCGCAGTCCTCTTCCTGGAGAATAGGCAGGTATGTGATACCAGGAGAAAGATCTAAAGGAACAATCAGGAGTCTCAGGGTCCAGAAAAGGCTCATTTACTTGTTAGCTCTGTGGCTTGTTGCGGGCTATAGAACTTCCTAGAAATTTAGTTTCTTTGTGGGATAAGAAGACTGTGAAAGCATGAAGTAATTTTCTTAGGTTAATTGGAAAAATCTTATAAATCATTATAACATGTTCTGATTATTTCAGATTTTATTTCACTTTGGTGTACTTATAAACATTTTTCAGTCAGTTTGCTTTTAAAAGTAGTCAGCCTATTAAACCCAGAATAATAAGCTTAATGTATTTTTAATCTCTTGGGGAAAATTATTCAAATCAGCACTTAGTGAACACTTTCTCTTTGCCAGCTACAAGTGTCACCTGGTAGGAGAAAAGCAGACTCTGAACCCAGATACTGTACTCCAGGTCCTAGATTTGCTGCTTACAAGCCATATGACCTGGATAAGTTACATAAACCTCTTGTGCTTCTGTTTTCTCTATGTAAATGGAAATTGTAACAGGCTTGTTATGAGAAGTAACTGAGCAAATACTTACCAAGCACATACTTGGAGCAGTGCCTGGTATCCTGTAAATGGGGTGGTACAAGTCTCCCCAGTGACTGACTTAATATCTGGGGCAGTCACCACCATCCTAAAATGCATAATTCCTTTAGCAGATAAGAACCTAGCTGATGTTCTTCTCTAACAAGTACTACTCAATGTTGTAAAATAGAATCTCATTAATTATAATATTATGAGTACTCCAGCATCCCTCAGAAGTATTTGTCTTTTTGCTGGAAATTCATGTGAAACAACAAAAAGTTCTTTTGTATTCTGCCAAGAGCTCCCTCACCTACCAATCTGGGGAGGTTGGCCCCTGCTTCATGACTTTGGGGTGTCCCCTGCAGGATGACATCTTCCAGCTGCAGCAACCCAGGGTAGAGCCCTTCTTCTGAGCAATGGCAGTGATATGATACTAGCAGCCACGCCATGTGACAAAACCGAGTCACAGACATAGTGATCTTATCTGAATATTTACCCCAAAGTACTTCAAGGTCCTGTTGCTCCATCAAATATACATGATGACCTTTCCTTTCCAATTCTCCAGCTCCCAGAAGTCTCCTATACCTGGTTCTTATCTTGAGAATATTCTAGATTATGTCTCTACATCTGCCGTATTTTAATAATTCTACTCTCGGTATAGGTCCTTATAGCAGAGAAAACAGGAAATTAAACTAGTCAAGGCAAACTTAGATTTTACCATATTATCATCTGTGCTGCTCTTTGATATATAAATACATGACATTATCATTCATACTTTTCAGAGAAGATGAATATAAACTCTTTGAAAAAGGTGACATAAATAAAAAAGCAATGCTTTTAGTGCATGATTCATTAACTAGAGAGAAAATTATTGCTAAGAAATGCACCCAATGACTTTTTTCCAAGATAGTATGACAAAAAATACATTAGGTCTGTTGAAAGCCAGGCTCTTACCATCAAGTTGCATTTATAAATGTGTTCCTCTTTTCCTTCCTTCTAATCAACTCACTTGTGAATACTCAATCAATGTTAATGGGAGGAATTTTCCCTTCTTCAATAATATAATTTCATTTTTTGGACGCTTGAAATGCATATTTAATCATTCAATTAACTGCTAATTATGCTTAAAGAATATTGCTTTAACCCTTGCTTACAATGAAAGCAGGACATTTTTCATAGCAGTGTATCAGCCTTTGGAGGGCTTAATATTTAAACAGAACTTACTTTGACATGGATGCAAATCAATTTACTTTTAATTTTAGGTCCCTCAACTGAAGAATCCTATGCTTGTAAAGATGTATAAACTGGTTAAATAATTAATGCAAAACAAAAAGCTAAGTTTGTCTTTCAAAAGACAATAAATCTTCACAATGTAGAACCAACAACAAAAGTGAATTATTGACTGATATTTTCATTTTGTTGGTTTGTTTTTATATTCTGGTCCTAAATCCTACCTTAATTCTACCTCTAGTAAAAACAGAAGTGTCATCCATAAATAGAAACTCTAAGTATATTCTCAAAATAGTCTTAAAAGGAACGACAAAAGATTGACTTTTCAGAGCACTCTGCCATCTGCTTTCCCAAATCATTTTGTTTAACCTTCATTACAACCAACAAGTCACTACTTATGTGGTGTCATTCCCATTTTACATTTAGAGAAATGATGCTCAGAGACATGTAACTTTAACAAAGGCCCCTTAGCTGCTATAGAAACTGGTTTTGAACTTGAGTTTTGTCACAACTTAGAATGTGTTCTTTAACAGTGGTTTTGTTTTAGGATTTTCTACATTGTATTTGTACATGTTTGCAGTATATGAAGTTTACATTTATCTTAAGAAATACATACATGCATGTAATATAACTTGATTTTTTTTCCCCTTCCCCTTCCTTCCCACCTCCCTCCATCCATCTGCCAATGCCCTTTCCTTATTTTCATTATTATTATTATTTTTACCTCATTTTAAGCAGCCATATAATGTTTACATTCATTGTAAGTATTTGATATAGCACATCTTAAAACATTTTATTTCCCTTTCAACTCCCTACATCCCCTCACACTCTGGCTTTTGGATCCCTTTACATTTACAAAAGATCTATCTCCCTATTTCCTTCTATTAATCTTTTATTGGGCTCTTTATTTGTACTTTGCATTATTGTGGCTTGCTAATCATTTATCAGCAAGTCAGACCTCTTCATTATCATATTTCAGAGACAGGTTTCATAGCGGAAGAGGTCAGTGTTACCCATCTCCTCAGTTACCTCAAGCTGTCTTCAGGTCAGGACATTTCAGAGACTCTAGCCACTGTGGATGGTGCTCTGAGATCTATCAGGGGACTAATGAGAAGTGTGTGATTTGCTGGGTGTCCCAGAGTCATAGGTATACAAGTGGTCATGTCAGCTTGTTAGGATTTGCTGCCCCTTGCCATGACAGCTGTGTCTGAACACTCACTTATGAATTATGGCATTGAGTTGATATCTTAATATCCACTAGTTGGAAGAAACCTTGAGACTGTGTTTCATAGTGTTTTCAGGAGAGTAATATTTTAAAACAGTGTCATCCTTGAAATTTACAGGTATAAGTCAAATAGAAGTTCAATTTAATTCTTTTAAATCCATCATCATTATTATTATTATTCAAACTTTGCAAATTAGAAATAGACACCAATATAAATAAATTAGCCAAATCTGGCTGACAGATGTTTCCAACCAATATCTGTTGGAGTCTAGAGTCAGTGATCTTAATTACAACCGAATCTTTATAGCTTCCATGAGGATAAGTATATTCCTAAAACATTGATGAAAATCAGCCTTTGCTAAAGACATTCTGTTTTCTTATTGATTCATGCTGAAGCATTTGATAAATCCCTTTTTTTGTTACCTAAATATAAAAATACTCTTAGTTCTTCCTCAATTAGTACTAAATGATCATTAAGCATATAACATAGTTGCTATTTATTTGGATGGAATAATGACACCATTTTTTTCTCATTTGAAGAGGAAATTCCTTAAATATTCACATTTAAAAACATTAAAACCGGCCTAGGCTACATGCCATAGTTCTAGTGATATCCTCTATGTGTAACTGTGTTCTTTTATGACTACCTCTAGCATTCTGTTACTTTTCACTCTTTTCAGTACATTTTAATACTATTTCCTTACTTATTTTCTTACCTGTTCTTTGTGTTTCTATTCATGAAGTGAAAAGATAAAAAGAATGCCAGGTTTGTTTGAGGAGTAGTAATAGGAAAAAAACATTGAACAATAGGTAATGATGTTAACTGAATGTATTTCTTTCAGGTAGGCCTCACTCCCTGTAGTTTTGCCACTAACTAGGAGTCATTTTTACAATAAGGAGACAAGGAAACAACCACACAGGTACTGAGAAAAGTTTTCTAGTTGATGGACTACTAAACCCAGAGTAGATTTCTATTTCCCAGACATACCCTAGCTTTCTGTAGAAACATAGCGACGGAGACTGGAAGGGAGAGGAGCTTGAGAGAGCTGACACAGAAGTGCAACTGTGCCCTGACAGAGTGCGCGTGCCTGGTGGAGGAGATCTGGCAAAAAGGGCCCGCTCTATTTCTGCAGCTGCTGTGTGCTGTCTGTTTTCCTTCACAGGATAGTCCCTGGAAGCGCCATGACTTTCAAAGTTATACTACAAATTAAAATGAAATAAAAATACATAATGATCAAAGAATATGGTGCTACATCAAAAATACAGATTAGAAAAATATAGTGATTGTGAGGAAATATAAACTTTAGAAATGTAAAAGACATAGTAGAAAGGGAAAGCCAGTAGGTGGAAAAGTCTGTCAAAGAAAATGAAAATGAGTGGGAGAGAATGTAAAAATAACTAAAAGTGAGAGAACAGGCAAGAGAGAAATTCAAAGAAAATATAAACAGCATTTTAAAAGCCAAACCAAATAATGAAATATAATAATAGAAATAATTGTTATTATTATTATTATTATTATTTTGGTACCGGGGATCGAACTTGGGTCCTTGTGCTTGCACAGCAGGTGGCGAAACCACTGAGCTAAATCCCTGGCCAATTGTTATTATTTTAATAATTATTATTTTAAATG